ATACTTTGAATGATAAGATTCTTCTCCTTGCCTTTTTTGTTGTGAAGAAAAGAAAACGAAGATATGAACCGAGAAATTGTTCTCTTTCATAAACCTTACAGTATCTTTAGTTGTTATTTTTTTCGACAGCAAGAAATATTCTCATGCTAGTTTGCGCGTCAACCATGAATAATTCCCTTCATGGACGATCTTAAGGGCTCATTCCCCATATCAGGTTGATACATTCGAAGGAATTTAATAAATTCCTCTACGCGCTGCTTCAAGCTTTAAACCTAGGAAGTCAAGGGAGCATTTTTCATTACTTCCTCCATGTGATGAACTTGTGACTGGTGTGGCATGCCTGGATACTTCTTATTCTGGACTTGAAAAGTTCATAAATGAGCACTCTCATCCTAATTGAAGGGCTGTCTTAAATCACTTGGCTACAGCCCTTTGGCTACATCCATGGCTCTCTTGTTTGACCATATCTGTTGATATGTACTTCTTAGTGGTTTTCATTTTATTTTTGACCCTCTAAACTTTGAGACTGCTGCTTGTATCATAGATTCTTGAGTACTCGTGAATCACAGCTGTTGGATTATGTGATTGATGATTTCATTCTTGACTTGTAAGAAAGGTCGAAGAACATAATAATTTGGAAATTTCGTTTGCTGTTCATTGAGCAGAAGCTGATGTATCTGACCTTTCCAAGCCATTACTTATCCAGGTTCACACATTCAAGAAAGCTTGTGTAGCCGCATATCCAACTACTGTGCAGAATGACATTGTTTGGTTTTGGCCAAATTCCAGTCCTGAATACAAAGATATCCTTTCCAGTAAGAAGCCCCCTTACATTGCAGAGTTGGATGACCCATCGTATATCAAAATAATGGGAAACAGAGAATTTCCTTTTGGGTACGCATTATTTTCTCTTGCCATGTGTAGGTTTCTTCTTACATTTTCCTCCTTTCTCAGCTGAACTTAGGACCCTTTCTAATGCTCGTGTTGAATATATTCTTTTTTTGGTGTAATCTGTTGAATATATTCTTCTCCAAATTATATCTCCATCTAGCATTCATGATTATGAGGAAAGATTAAAGTTCTATTCAGTAGTTCTTAACGAATTGTCCTCGGATTTTTTAAGGTAAGCTAAGTTATCATTTTCAGGTATGAAATCTTGATTGAAAACCTAGTAGACCCAGCTCATGTTCCGTATGCACATTTTAAGCTGCTTCCAGGTCCACCAGCTAAGAACAGATAAGAACTACTGCTACATTGTGCTCATATTGCCTTGTATAAATGGTTAGTATATCTGATTAACACCATATATTTTCTTTTATTCCACAGTCAAGCTCGATAGAGAAGGTGGCGCACCGATTGATATAACCATAAACAAGTTAGATAAAGAAGGTTTTCATGCTAGCAGATTTGGTGGAATTACTAATTTTATGGCACCTTGTGTATATAAATCTGCTTTCAGTCTGCCGCCGAAGAAAGGTAATGAGCCACAGAGAAGAGGGCTTCTTCTTTTCTTCTGTGTTCCGGTTGGTCCTGGTAAGAGCAGATTAATATACACATTCCCAAGAAATTTTGGAGTGTGGATGGACCGAATTATGCCAAGATGGGTGTTTCATTTGTGGCAAAATCGGATTCTAGATTCCGATTTGTACCTTCTCCACTTAGAGGTAACACCATTACCATAAAAATAAAAGTATAGTCTCAATATCACAATCCTAATGCGAGACCATCATGGTATGGCGGATATCTAGTGAAGTTCTGTTCTGGAGAATCAGAACAACTGGTTCCTAAAGGCCTGTTTTGTGCTGCTGTTTTTTGCAGGAGCGTAAGATAATGGAAGTTGGCCCTACCAACTGGCAAAAGGCCTGTTTTGTGCCAACAAAGTCAGATGCTCAAGTTGTTGCTTTCAGAAGGTGGCTAAGGACGTACTCAGGTGGTCAGATTAACTGGGGAGGCAAGTTCAGCGGAGCACTCCCTCCAACTCCTCCGAAAGAACAACTAATGGACAGGTAACTTATGCACAACCCGAAAAGTTTAGACTCAAAGTTCATCTTGGTTATTTTTAACTTCATAATTCATATGAAGCTATTGGCAATGGATTCTTGCAGGTACAGGTCACATGTAGTGAATTGCAGCAGCTGCAGCCTTGCATACAAGAGTCTTAATGCACTTGAGGTTGCCCTGCAAGTGATCTCCTTCGGTTCAATCGGTGCTGTTGCAGCAACCAAGCAGAATGCAATGTCAGCAGCCGCAAGAACTTCACTTGTATTAATGGCAATCCTGTGTTTTGCAGCTTCAAGATGGTTGGCTCACTTCATTTACAAGAATTTTCATTTTCATGACTACAATCATGCCCTTCTTTAATTTTACTGTTTTGAACATCAATTTCGTGGTGTTGGAAACACCATATTGCATTGTATACGAGAAAACTCAGAGTCTGTGAAAAAATTATATAGGGAGCAAAATTGGAGAGCTTGCTAGACAGTATATTTACTTGTTTGTTGAATGATATTATTAGTGTGCTTTTGGTACATTGGACAGGGTAAGGCATGATTAGACGAGAACAGAATGAAGCAGAGCACGAGTCCCTGTCTTCTCAATTCCAATCTTATTACTCTTACTAGTTATATAAAAATATATCGAAGTCCAGGCTCCTTACCACCATATCATCATGGTCAGTCCCAGCATAAGCAGAACCTGAACCAGCTGAAAAAGAAGAGAAGTTAGATGAGTTTTCTCAGTGGTATCCAGTGATGTCAGCTTGTGATTTTGATGCAGCCAGGCTTACATAAAATGAAGCACAGGTCATAACTAGTAAGCAAGGCATATTCCATAATAGCTAGGTCTTGCCACCAAAATCTCCACTCCGAGAAGAAGATGATGCTCCTGCATTATTAGAATTTTAATAATTATAATGATTTAGGATTCGGTGATTTTCAACCTAAAATAAAATACCTCTCGAGATGTAATTGAATTTTATAATTTGGTTTTGCTGTAATTATAAAGTAATTAAGAAATGACAAAGTTATTAGATTACAATTTTCTTTAAGAACCCCTTAACTTAAAAAAGCTTTATTATATATTAAGAAAATCTTATATTAATGCTTTTCAACTGGTTCTTTTATGGTTCAGCTCCTCACAAAATTTCACTTTACATTTTAGCAATTTAATTATTTCAAAGTCCTTGAAATGAAAATTGAAGGCAGAACAAGGCGTGAGTTTTTTCAAGGCTCAAAGACAAAGCGACAGAAGCCTATACAGCCCGAACTTCTTCCGGTATTTTCACTTGACTAGTTGCCTATTAATCGCAGATTATTTACTTGAAAAGAATGCCGGGGAACTGCCGATTCTTCAATCCAAACGATCGCCGAGTAACCTCCGAGGAATTCACGATCATTAACTTAAAAAGATCTCCGATGAATCGACGACCTTCCTCGTTAGAAACTGCCGATTATTTTTTAGGAGGCGCCGACAGCAATGAACGGACTGTTTTTCAATTAATCGCCGATTATGACCACGTTTCGTTCGCCGAGTCTTCCACTAATCACTGATTTTTATATTTATTCCCGATGCTTCGGAGTAATCGGCCAATTGTTTTCCAATTAAACACCGATTACTTCTGTTCACGTTCTTTCTCCGATGATTTGGAAATTAATCGCCCACTTTCCACGTGTATTTCCTGAGTTTGTGCGCATTATCTCACTCTTGAGCGAGTTATTTCCTGTACTGTTAATTTGTTGTAACATGAAATTGAAAGCCAAAAATATCCTCAATAAATCGGCGGTATAGGAAATAACTCGCTCAAGAGTGAGATAATCCGCACAAACTCGGGAAATACACGAGGAAAGTGGGCGATTAATTTCCAAGTCATCCGATCTAATACTCGCGCTTACCTCCCGCTACTCACATCCATATGCAAGAGCAAGATCCAACTGTACTAGAATGTTTGGCTTTCATGTTGTTTTGGCTTTCAATAAATTTCCATGAAAATTAATTGAAATTAGCCTCCAGCATACTTCTCAGTCTGGAGGGATTGGTCGGCCATGAAGAAACAAAGAAACAAAACCATGAACACTCTTGAAGCACTTTTGTCAAAGAAAAGGTGAACATCAATTTCCACAAGATTAACGCTTCTCCTTTGTTTGAAACCGACAGCCATCATGCATAGAATTTGAAGCACTTTCTTTCGTCGAATAAACTGGAATTGTTGATATGGATAATTTCGTTAACTACTTGTTAATTATCTCTATTTATTTATTGATGGATTACGCGGAATTTTACTATAAAATGATGAATAGTTTATGAAATTATGTTCATTAATTCCTTTTGAAGCGCGAGGACAAGAAAATAGTCAACTTTGATGATGTGCTGAGGACAAAAATCCGCTTCCCATCCTCTATAACAACTTCACAGGCCTTCCTTTCCATCGGTAATGGTAGATGTTTACCAGTGAAAGCATTTTATTTAGGTTAAAATACAAATAAAATGTAGTGCATGGAGCCTCAATGGACCAAGACACTTGATGCACTGCTTTTGAAATTTTGATCGAGGGCATTCTTCGAGATTTAGTTCCTTGCCTTCTCCTATATCTAGCCTTCAGTTCCAAACCAAGCATGCATATGAAAGTTCAGCTTCGAAATCTTGATCACGTCTAAAATTGAAAGTCTAGCAATAAGGATCCAAGAAACTTGTCAGTATAGATAGGGCTGCCTGCTTACAGAAACAAAGGTCATGCCCATATCGATGTCGTTGACCAATCTGTTTTAAGCGCAAAAGGCTTAATAGATATAAAATTTATTGATTTGTTTGCTTTTGTATTTTAAAAATATTTTAAAAAAATTAAATTTTTTTATTTATTTTTTATTTATTTTAAATTAATATTTTTAAATTATTTTAATATTCTGATATCAAAAATAATTTTTTTAAAATAAAAAATATTATTTTAATATAAATAAAAAATATTTTAAAAAACAATCCCAATACTTAACCATTAAAACTGAAGCTTTTAGTGCGGTGCATCGCACTAACAACCAGGCTCTCAGACTGAATGAAGAGCACCAAGTCATAACTGCAGAAATCCTATAAATTTGAGAGTCTACTGTGCCGCTTCAAGCCAGTGCTTATCAATAAGTTTTTAGGCATTTTCATCAACTGACAAGCCTTTTCCAACTCTTCCAGCTCTCCTTTTGGCTCTTGACCATTTAGAAATGGCAGCTTCATGTTTCTTCATATCAAAGAACGAAATAGAAATCCAATGGAGTTCAACGAAGTCTAAAAGTTTCCACCTGTGATTAAACAAGTAACAAAGACTTTTCTGTTAGAACAAGGCTATGCATGTATTCTTATGTTTTTATTTGAAGAAAGAAGACCAGGATTAATGTGTACTGATCAATAGATAAATACCATCTCTGCTCAACAAGAACTTCCCAATCTGCAAGTATTCTCCTCGTTCAGTAGCTTCTGTAAACTCTCAGCAATCTCACCGCAGCTTGGTGTTTGGGGATGATGGGATCAAAAATTCCCAATTTCGGTATCGTCTCTACGCTATGATCATCTGCGTTCAGGGACTCATTATCCATCTCTTTGCTGTCAATTCTATCTGTCTTAGTAGAGGCAACCATCTCTTTCTCCCAAGGAGAGCCAGTGATAGGCATCATTCTTTCCAATTCTCCCCCCTTAAAACTAGCAGTTCTTTCTAATGTAATTGTCTTTCAAGAGCCTGAAGATTTCAACGTTGAAGGCTCAATAATCTCGACTACTTTGTTGTCTCGGAATATAGGCAGTAAGAAGAAGGGTTTCGAGAAAGAAATTTTATATGACAGAAATTTGACAAAAAATTCTCTACATTTCCTTTAATGGTCACTTTACTCTAAATTTTGACCAAAAATCGAAACGTTATTAGATTTCCATGTTCTTATTCTTATTCTTATCCTTAATGAGAACTAAATACGTATAATGTAGGTATCAATATTGATGGATTTTATGTGACTCAGCTTGACCCATAAACAAAATGTAAAAGAAACTTTAATGTTTTAAAGATTAAATCAAACATTCTTGATGAAATTTGATTAAAACTTTTAAACCAATTCAACAAGGACATGTACACATTGGATACAAAATTTCAGATCATTATTCAAAATGAAGGTCTTCCAAAACATTCATACTTCAGAAAATGCAAGATAAACATCTGAACGCTTCATTAGCCTTATTCTATCCTTCCATTTTGAGTCATTCCCATCAGAAACATGCAGACATTATGAACAGTTTCCCAAGAACATGACCGCAGCATGCCACTATGGACTACCCTTATCTTTGACATTTTGAAATCCTCTAAACACACAAGGTCATCATTATTAGACTGTATATACAACCATCTAAAGCATAATAATGGGTCAAAAACTCAAGATCAAATCAACATCACATACTTATTCAAGCAGAAATTTAAAAGAGTAGTATGCCACTGTGCACTATACCCAGGAGGATTTGAAAGGATTATACCTTCAGATCATTGGAGAATGATAGTGAAGTTTAATGAAAGAATGACTTGGACCTCGACGATTCCAGCTGGTACTCTTGGGACGGAGGTGTGAAGGTATTAAAGAGGGTGAAAGGAGTTTATGCTTGGCCAGTGCTTTTTTTTTTTTTTTAAAAAAATAAAGCTCCTTTTTATTTTCCTTTCTTCCTCCCTCCCTGAGATCTTTATTTATAGATGAAGAAGATGGATCTCAGGAGGGTAAGCTGGAGGGATTTCATCTCTTGATCTTGGGGACAGTTTCAGTGATTTGATGATGGTAAGGAGCGTTCCAGGTAGTTTTGACAGCTGGCAAGTTCGTAGCACACCGGTTTGAAAACCAGCTGGGTTTGGTTGTTTGGATGAAAATATCTTGGGAGCAAAAGAAATTGAGATGAGCTGTTGGATCATGTACAGGGAAATGTTGTCCAACGTTCTGGGCAGATTCTGGATTAATGAGGCAACATTGGCCTCTGGAAAGTTCCTGGAAGGTGGTTTGTTCAACTGGTTTTGAAGAAACACGAATGGGATGGTGTCTTTATGGATTTCTCGAGAGCAATGCAGATGAGATAAACCATCCATAACCATCTGATCTCGAGAGAAATGTTGTTGTTGGTTCGATTGGTGCGAAGGAAAGAGCGTAGAAAGGTCTGGAAGTCATCCAGCGAACCAGACCCTCTCTGTTTAATTTTGGTAGAAGATGATGTACAAGGATTCAAGACGACGTCGTTTGAGCAACCCCTAAGGTGTTAATGGTTTTCAACTCTCTTTCAGTCCTTATTCTTGAGAAATATGTTGGTTGGTCAAACCCCTAATTACTACCGCAATCTTAAGACCCCTTCAATTGCATCCCTCGTACTTCAATTAGAATCCTTATATTTAAGCTCCTTTCGCAAAGCAGTCTATCTTATCGAAATCATTCAACTTGGTCCCTTATTGACTCTTAAACTTTGAATTGCTTGCAATCCAGTCCTTGATTTAACAATTCGCTTTTCCAAGTCTGGAAGTCCTTGTTTCTGAAATTCTTCAATAAGACCCTTAATTGACCTTTAAATCTTAAAGTTCTTGCAATCTGACCCCTGGTTCAATTAATTATGCTACTCCAGACTTCAATTAAACCCTTAAACTCTTAATTCTTTCAATTTTTTTGTCTAAATTTCCTTTTCAAAATTGATTATCCTTTCAGTTAAAGCTTTGAAAAATCCACATAAATCCTTCAACTTTCCTTGGCTCCTCCAAATCGCTATTTTAAACTCTTAAACCTTTCATCGTTAATTAATTAGGCCCTTAATTGAAAAAAATTAAACTGCCATCTTTTGCATCCTTGCCCGTATTGGTCCTCCAATTTGTGTAGTAATGGCCAATTCCGGTCTATTTTATTCAACTTTATTATTACTATTATTAATCAAAGTGCAATTTTCATGTTGAAATTCAACAAAAGCATTTAACTAAAGATTAATTAATGAACAGTAAAGGGCGACTTTTGGCTGCTGTCTCGGAATTGAAGAAACAAAGAAAGTGAAGATAAAAAATATATCCTCTCGAATTTTTTATTCTGAAAAGATAAAAATTTATTTATAAATTATTTTATGAATAAATTCATGTATATTTATATTCTCATTTCTCCAATAAAACACGTTATTGTCCCTTTTATCATGTGATGTAACTGTCTTGTAAAAAGCCTTGAAACCATTGTCGCATCAACATATTTCTTAAATAAGCATTGCTTGATTAATACATCTTTAACGTAGAAGAACTCAAATAGGAAAACAAAAAAGTATAAGAAGTGAAATAACCTTTTTGGTAAAGTAGATATACTAAATATGTAATTATCTATTGTTGTTAGTAGTCCCATTTCGAGGTTAACCTTGTGGGTCCCTCCTGAAGAATCACATGACAATGGGACTAATAACATCACCAGATAATGTTATAACGGTATAAAAATAATATTAGCAAACTAAAATAATATATCTTTTTATTTTTAAAAATAAAAAAAGTATTTAAAAGTACCTAAAAGAATATAATTTGGTATTTTATAAAATACAAAACAATTTCAAAAACAAATTATAACACAAGAACAACACTCACTAACCTAGTGATTCAATCATTTTTTTTCTTAGAAAAAGATAATTTTATATTAATCTTGAATAAAATTTTGAGTATCATATCCACATTCAAAAATTTCCACTCATCTTACATATTTTACCCTAATTTAGGCTTGGATATAACTTGAAAAATATTTAATTTGTTTCTAGTTCTGATTAGATAGGGATGGTTCAGATCTTCAAAATATGAGTTTTGATAAACATATTGCAATCAAATTCCAATAATCCATCGTCATCCCAATCCAATAAGCCGTTGATCTTTCTTAATTGATTTTTTCCCATTAAGGTATCCGAATCTATGATTCTGACAAGGCTCCTCTAATATTTCACTTGTAAGACACAAGGGCCTGTCCTTCTGTCTCCAAGTCACTCTTGTCTGACTTCACTTTCAGACGAGAAAAAAGCACAATTGACATAAGTCTTGTTCTTTTCTTCTAACCATTTCAACACAAACACTCCATTCTCTCTTCCACTCCATTGAAGTTCATAACTTTATGCTGAATTCCTATTAGATCTCACTGCTTTCACTCTCTCCATTTAAATTCACCTCATCAATCGGTACATCCTCTTCCGATGCTTTCACTCTCTTCAGTTCAATTCAAGGAAAACCTTGTTTAGCGGTCTCCTTTTTGCTTTGTTTTCCTGTTTTTCCCCGTACTTGATTCTGTTATTAGTTAAGAAAAGATTGGATTTTGAAGGTAACCCATTATTGGATTTGGTCTAAGAAAACTTGGGTTGTTTTTGTTTTTTTGGATTGAGTTCAAGATCCGAGTAGATTTTGGATTTGGGTTTTAAAGGCTAGAGAAAATCCATGAAAGAAACCAGTCTAGGAGCTGGTCATATAGGGCAGAACCTGATAAAGTTGACAAGTAATTCATGCCTCTCAGTGTTTGTGGTCTCAGTTTTGATATTTACTGTTACTGCAATCACATTCCAACCACCAAATCCATGGCTGGAATCAGCTCCAGCTTTCACAAAACTCTTCACACAAACTGAGAATGCCACTTTTAAAATTGATGATTCTGTTGTCAAAACTGGTGAGGATTTGCAAACCTGGACTGCCCCTGCTGTCCCTCCTACTGCTGATATGAAGCCAATTACTGAGGAGGTGATCAAGAAAAAGGAGGAAGTGAGCGATATGACCCTCAAGTCATCTGGTCGTGAGGATTTGGAGGTAGTGAATTGTTCGGATCCAAAGGTTTTGATTACGGTTGAGAAGTTCAATTTGTGGCTAGTTAAGTCAGTTGTGTTTTTGGATTATCAAACTCCGGTTAACGGATCCTAGCAGGATGGGTGTGACGTGTCATGGACTTTTGGGAATAAGAAAGAGAAGTAGTGGAGGAAGTATAGGGATTTTAGGAGGTTTAAGTTTGTAATTGAAGAGAATTGTTCTTACAAAATTGTGCATCCTGATGGCTGGCGTTCTGGTTTCAACGCCAGAAGGATTAGAGTTAATCCCACCAGGAGTGTTAGAAATAATCCGAAAGTTGCACCATTGGTGGCTCAGGACAATGAGATAAATGAGACAATCCCAACATTGGGATCAGAAGCGAACTTTAGAAATGGTAAGTACTTGTATTATTCTAGAGCAGGGGATTGTTGGAAGGGAATGAATCCGTACATGAGTGAGTTTCTTTTGGGGGTTGGGGGAGGCTATGTATTTGAACAGGACATTAGTCATGGACTTGGGCATGTGCTTGACAGGTAGTTATAATCCGGATGGGAAGGATCAGGAGGGGACAGATTTTAGGTGTTTATTTTTTTCGAGCATCTTAAGGAGGCGGCGTCAATTGCCGAAGAGGGTGAATTTATGAGGAAGAAATGGAATCGCTCTCGTAAGAAGAAAGTTCCAGTTAAGAAGGTTGTGGCCCATAAGAAGACACCAATGCAACCAAGGAAAGTTAAGAGCACAATCATATGGAGGCAGTTTGATGGTCAGGAGCCAGAAAATTATTATTAGTATAGGATGTGTGAAGGGCTGGCTGCAAAGTACATTCAGAGACCGTGGCATGCAGTTTGGAAATAAAAAAGATTGATGAGTATAGTTACAGACATCAGTGGGAGAATGGACTGGGATTTTAGTGCATGTGGTTCGTGGGGAGAAAGCTCAAAATAAGGAGCTTTGGGCACACTTGGATGCCGATGCATCACCCTACGAGCTTGTTACAAAGCTTCAAGGGATGATCCAACCTTGGAGGAATCTGTATATAGCAACCAATGAGCCATTCTTCAATTATTTTGATAAATTGAGGTCTCACTTCAAGGTCCATTTAATTGGTGATTACAAAGAATTGTGGGCAAATACAAGTGATTGGTACAATGAGACAATTCTTTTGAATAATGGTCACCCAGTCGAGTTTGACTGATACATGAGAGTTGCTGTGGATACTGAGGTTCTTTACAGAGCAAAAACTCGGGTGGAAACATTTTACAACTTGACCAGCGACTGCAAGGATGGTATCAATACATGCTAGTGAGGTTTGGGTGCTACTTTTTTTCCTTTCCATAAAAATGATTCATGTCACTCGTTTTCTTGATTCAGCCACAGAATGATACAAATTGAGCTCATTTTAGACCTTTATTTTTTTCTTTGGTTGTTCTTTTATTTCGTTGGCCATTGGAATTTCCTATTGATCATGACAGCTCTATATCTGTAAAATATAAATTCATTTTTGTGGTCTTAATCTGCTCTGTGCTTTTTTCTCAAAGTGAATCAAGTACCTTTTCATTTCATCACACTGATAGCAAGCTGTGCATGCATCTGTATTTAATTTGTCCTGCCCCTTTATTATCTTCTGAAGATGTGAACCAATGCTGTTTTTATTTCCCATCTCCTGTGGCGTCTCCATTTGATGTTTTTGAAGTCAAATATACTGGATTTCTTATAAATGATTGTTAAAAGGTTGAGAAGGAGTTTCTATAGGTTTTCGTTAATTCATCCGAAATTGGTTGCATGTTGCTCAAAGAAGGTTTGAAACAGGAGAGATCATCTTTTACGCTAATCCAAAACATAATCGAAGTGAGAATCTTACACGTTACCTTGTTGTGAACTTCACGAGGGCGTTCCTGCACCTGCTCCTGCATGCAGTGTCTTCTATGTACCATTCCAGAACTAGCAGGTAGCGTTATTTCCACTTTGATGAGTAGTGATCTTAGCTCATGAAAATTACAGGAAATTATATAATGCTTATATGTGAGATTATTGAGATGTTTATGGCCTGTACGTGTGATTTTATCAGTAGTATAACTAGTAGTTATCATCCACTTCTGTATGCTTAAAGCAAGTGAATGTTTTCTGCTTTTGCCTTGCAATCAACTCTGCTGTGAGAACCCAGGCATGGTCCTGAGTGCCAGGATGAGCACTTCAACCATAAAGCATCTTCTGTGAGATCTCGGTTTACACCAAAAACTAACAAAAGCTAGTCTGCATTTTAATTCCTAGTGATGTACTCATTCTGAAGTAAAAAATATAGCCGTCACAAGAGGGTTTTGCATGCATAAACACCACTTATTCCTATTTAATTCATCATTTTTGTGCATTATATCCTTCAATTTACGT